CTCGGGCCTCGGCCACCTGCTGCGGCAGATGCAGCGGACCGGGTGCGCGGACCCCCGTGACCGGGTCTACGGCGTGCTGGGGATCCTGCCGCCGGCCGCGCGGGGAGTCGCGGCGCGCATCGCGCCCGACTACAGAAAGCCCGTGGTGGAAGTGTACAAGGAGCTGGTGCTCGCCGAGATGGAGGTGACGCGCAGGGCCGACCTCGTGTCGGAGTGCCGGCGGCCCGACTCCACTTGTCCGGGTCGGCGGCCGTCGTGGGTGCCGGACTGGACCGTGAGGCGGGAGCGGGACCTGTGGCCGACGCCGCAGTGCGCCGATGGGCAGTCGGCCGTGTCTGCGTGTGTGGTCGACGGGGGGCAAGGGCTGGCCATCAAGGGCGTCTTGGCCGCGACCGTCGTCGACGTTGTCCCCATGGCCGTTGCACGGAGCGCGGCGCCGCAGGATCCGATACTGCCGTCCGTCGTCGCTCTCATACGCGAGGTCGCCGCCAAACTCCATCTTTCCGATGGGCCGGGTTACCGACCGTCGCGGGCGGACGGCATGCTTGAGGCTCTGTGTTACGCACTGTCGGGTGGCTGCCTTGCCGATGACATGGCGGACGAAATGAGGGATGCGACCACGCCCAGCATGGCCCAGTTTCAGCGGCTGATTAGGTTTGCGCTCGACACTACGGTTGGCGATGCTTCTCCTGCGACAGAGCCGAGCCGGGACGTCATGACGGACGTCTTTCTCTGCGTCGGAAGCATGGTGCGGGCGTGTGAGGAGACAGCGCTGCTCATTACCGAGGAAGGCTTTGTCGGGGCCGGGCCGGCGCTTACACGGCCGGGGGACCAGGTCTCAGTCATGCTGGGCTGCATGAGACCACTGGTGCTACGGGCCCAGGAGGTATGGAGCGGTGGTGGTGGTGGCGGCACTGAAAACAGCAGCACGTATGCCGTTGTCGGGCCCTGCAACGCACATGGCTTGAACTGGGGAGAGGCTCTGCTTGGTCCGTTGCCGGAGGACGTGCGCCTCACATGGGGCCCGTCCGGGCCTGTTTTCAGGAATAGAAACACGGGTGAAGATGCGGCGGCAGATCCCAGGATCGACTGGGACCTGCTGGAAGTCGGCGCCAAGGAGGATGCCTTTGTGCAGAGGGCCGCCACGACAGACGGAGTGACCATGTACAAGAGGCCTGATGCGGCGTATTTTGCCAACAAGGGCGCCAGACTGAGAACCTTTCACTTGGTATAAAAAAAGGGGGGGGGATGGGGGGCACGGGAGGTTTCCAGAAGAACAAAGATCAATGATTGTTACAAAAACAGGTCACAAGGGCGCGCCGCACCATTTGGGGGTGTGTGCAGATGATGAGAGGAGAATACCTATACGTGGGCGTTTAGGGGGATTGTAAAGGATTCAGCACAAGCTCTTCCGCAGGCCATCGGAAAGACTCGCGACGCTTTCCGGGGTCGCTGCTGCGCAAGCGGCCGAGCGCGCGGGCGCGGGTATCTGGCGAAGCACACGATTCCCGCGTCGTCGGCCCCCTCCCCATCGGCGGGTGCCACCTGGACCACCGACAAGGCCCGAATGGGGAAGAAGAAAATGAGTTGAAGCAATATTCGAGGCCGGGATGGTGTAGTCATGTGGCTATCAGGCGGGCGGGTATGGGGTAATGGCACACAAAGGGCTTGTTTGCAAGGTCAAGACGGCCGCATGCGGAGCGACAAAGTCGGACGGGTGCGGAATGCGGGGTGTTTGGTGTCAAGTCCCATGCATGTTCTTTGTTGGGGAGGCAGGAACAGTCCGGTCGCAGCGGTGGTGACGGACGGAAAGTGAATTTAAATTTAAATTTAAAAATTAAACCATTTATTTATTTATTTGTCTGTTTATTAATTTACTTGACACATTCGGCAACACACCGCCGCGCAGTTCCTTCCATTCTGACCAGCAGCCAACTCACCCAGTCCATTCCCCATCCGTGCGCAGAGATGCGAGCCGGCCACGAAAAAGACCAGGGCCGGCATGTGAAGCGCGTCTCGGAGGACATGTGCCTCTGCGTACATACATACATACAACATGCCTAGGCAGGCACACGCATGGCCTCGAAGCCTTGCGTCCGCCATGATCCAGACACGACGACGGAAAACTTGGTGCCAACAGCATGTCCCAGGGCAGCCAACCATGACGCAAAGCTGGGCTCCCGTTCCGGACATGTCAAGCGTGCATGCACACCGATTCCCAGTCTTGGCCGACGGCGCATTGCCCGGGCCGACGGCCACGACGGCGTGTCAGTGTCTGAGACGCACATGAACATTGGACACGCAAATACACATCCGCGGCTCCGACCTAGGGCGGCTGGCGGGTAAAGCAGCGCAGAGCAAGACAACAAGCGGGCAGTCGGCGCATCCCAGGGCACACACAGGGGGGCGTGTGGCCGAGGCTGGCTACATGTAGGGGCTCCTGATGACACGGCCGCGCAGACATTGCAGTCTGGCGTGCGTGCCGTCGAGGGCGATATTCCGGGCTTGCGTCAAACTCTGTATTTAGAAACTCACCGACTCTTGCTGCCCACGCGCGCTGGTGCACGGGGGGGCCACGGGGGACGGCGCCTGGCTTGAGCGTACATGCAAAGTGCTGGATGCGGTGTAAACGCCCAAGTCTGGTGACATGGACTCAAACTTGAACGCCATGGTTTGCGAGGTTGGAGTCGATGCAGGAGCTTGGACTCTGCGTCTGTTGTGTTGATGTCGACTAGCAAAATGGCCCCAAGCGGACTGGCAGCGACTTGGTACGCGCCATGCACGTACGTGTGATTATTGTGCTTTTTAAAACGAAAATACACTGATTCACTTGCAAAGCATCAAAGGAACCAACAGGCGGTATCCTAGTTTACAATGCTCGCCCCGGCCTGGTGACCGGCATTGCATGTACAATGGCCCTATCCCATCGTCTTGGACGAACCACCATGATGCGAAATGCGCTCCAACCCCGCACTCGTGAGTCGTGATGCGCCAAAAATAACAAGGCATAAACCACCATGGGGATACCAGGCAACGATTGCCGTGATGCCACGCACCGCGCGAGATCGAGCTCCTTGTCATCATCGAGGGGACTGGAGCTGGAGCCCCCTCCCCCGCAACGGTAGCAAGTCGCCGAGGGTTGCACAAGACGTCTTCTCCTACGTCATGGGAGCACCTCGGTCTTTGTTGATTGCCCATCCCCATGTGTACATAGGCGCCGCGCTTGAGCAGCAGTGGTTGGCGCCGAAAGCCGTCCCGGGTCGTGGGCCGGTGTCAACACCAACTGTCTGGCTGGATTTGAAAAACACAAGATAATCATCCATGCGATCACGATTGCGATTACGTATCACTAGACTACAATACAAAAACAAATGTGACGCGACGAGCCTTGTCTCTTTGCTGGATGCCGTCGCTTCCCGAGGCATCTGACGGCGCCACCAATTTCGCCCAAGTCGGGCCAGCACGACACGGCGCTTTCGACAGCCAACAGGGCCAGAGTCTTCCGCTGCCAGACAAAACGTTGGATCATTCATCTCATGGCAGGTGACTCTGCCCCGAAGGCTTTGTCAGCGCCCTCCAGCGCCCGGAAGAGAGGGATGGGGGAAAACGCCGCCCTGTAAGGCCATGACACGTACTACCACGAAAGGCTGGAGGGACAAATGTCGCGTTGCATCGAAAGCTTGTCCTGCCGGTCGCCTGTCTTGCCTCCCAGGGCCTAGCTGAGCACTACTACTTGACCCCCCTCCAGCCCTCCGATCCCCGGTGGGAGAGCCAAAGCAAAAGCCAGGAGTTGCTTCCGGCCCTGTTAGCCACGACGGCGCACCATGGCAAGACAGCCAACAGCCCACTCGGGGGCCAGGCGCCAAGCACCCCATCTTTTCTAGAAGCCTTCCAGCACGTGGGGTGGTGTCTGGTGTGCCTGTGTGTGTGCCGCCCAAAAGTCACAACACAAGGCGCACAGGCCACCCCCCCCTCTACTCCGTATTTTTCCCATTGTCACCGTCTGGTTTGCTGCTCGCGGAAGAAGAGCGAGCAAATCCCGGGTTCCCCATACGGCATAGCGCAGATTCCCCCCACCTGGCCCTGTTCCGCGGACCAGTCAGAAAATTGCAATAAAAAAGCGACTGTAAAAAATAAATAAATAAATTCCATGTCATTTTAAATCGGGCTACCTGGGTTGTTCCGCACGGGGTCACGCTCACGAATTTCGGAGCCTTCCCGGAACGCTGGCCGCCGACTGGTCAGCCTTCTTTTTCCTTTTGCCCCCCCGCAAGAGGGCGACCAGCAACTCTGTTTTGCAGTCAAAAGGGTTCGTCGCTACTATTTCCCCGCGCGGATTGGAGATTCTCGACATTGCTGTGCCTTTTTTGGCGTGGCAGGCGATGGCGTTTTCGGGAGAGCGCCGACGTGAATGAGGGCGATTGTTGAATTCCCCTCCCCACCGTGGCTGGGGGGGCGGCCATGCAGACCCTGTGCTCAATGCTGATGTGTTATTAATGCTGGTATACGGAGTACCAGGCATTTGACTTGTGCAAGCAGTGACCCGGTACTTGGATGCAGTAACACCGAGATAGGGCAGCGGAATAGGCGGGGAGGAGCGGAGCGGCTGCAGGCAAGGGGCGACTTGATGGCCCTTACAGGACGACTGGCCAGGCGGTGCGCGGCTCTTCAATGCTCTTTTTTTTTTGTAAGCTTGAGAGCTTTTCGCGTTGGATGGGAATCATAGGATGCCGCACGCAGGCATGTTGGCTTTTCGGCGAGGAAGCGCGGATATCGCTCACGCCTTTGTGCACTGTATTGTGTTGACGTGCAGCGCTACCTAAGATCTAGTCGCCGGGAAAAGACACGCATCTCCGGCCGTGTACAAAACCTGCATGCACATGGGCAGCGCCAGTCGAGGTTGTTGGACACTCGACGCCAGTGTGTGTGTGTGTGTGCCATCCAGCAGCCAAGGCAATCGACCTGCTGTGGGCAGCGTCAATCGACAATAGCACATGCAGCCTGGCGCGGCCTGCATTCAATGGACGCTGGCACGACGCCGTAAACTCTTGCAGCTACGGCGGGCAAAAACCACTGCCGAGTGCCTGGCACATGTGGCATCCCCAATGCTTCTTCAATGGATTGATTGTTCACGGTGGCGGCCTGTGAAGGGACGCTCGGCACACACCAGACCCTTTACCCAGCCAGTCGCTACTGCTGCCGCGGCCGACTCATGCCCGCCGCACACGGTCAACCGTGGCTTTTTCCGCCCTTCGGAAGCCCCCCCAAGCGGCTGATTGCCGGCCTATTCGTGGGCTGAAGGACGGGCTGGGGGCTTGAAGAATCAAGGCTTGCGAATGTGCACATGTCAAGTGCAGCTTCATTCAATGGGCCCTACAATACAGTGTGGCCCACGCGGCTCGTCCGTGAGGATGGGGAGCCACGGGCTGTGGCGCGGGGCCAAAGGGACATGGCACTGGGCACTGGGAGCTTGGGGTCTGGTTTTCAATAGCCGACCCGTGACAATTGATTGCCTTGGGCTGCGCCTAGTTTCTAGCGCTCTGCAGCCGAGGCGATGGCGCCAGCCAGCAGCGATTGCCAGTGCCGGCGGCAGGAGTCGACATCTGCCTGCCACGATGCACATGCAGACAATGACAGCCACGCTGGCGTGGTGCAGCTGCGCTTGTTTGCCACCAAAACACTGGCTTGCCCGAGCAGCTCTGCACGGTCAAAGTGTAGATTTAATGTATTGTTTTTTTAATAAAAAAATCATGAGTTTATTTTTTTATATTATTATTTTTTCTTATTCTTTGTATTATTCCGCCTTCCTCTCATGGCACCAACGTCGAGGCGGGCACGGCTCCCCGGGTCTCCGACTGGCCCCATGGCCCCATCCGACACCGCTGCCTTGGGATTTCAATGTAACCATGGCCACGCGACGATGCTACCAAGCGCCGACGCTGGCTGTCTTGAAATTCACCACGTACAGGGTACTGGAGTACGAAGACGTCCAAAATATCTCATCCTTCCGCCATCTGTGTATTAAATTATATTTTATTTCATTTTAAATATAAATATTCATTCAATTAAAATGCAGCCCCAGCCTCGAGGCACGCGCACAATACCAAAAAACACAAAAGCCACCACATGGCGCCACACAGGCTCTTGCGCACACGCCCTCCTCTCGGCGACGGCCCCGAAGTCTATCGCAGCAAAAAAAAAAAAAATCTGGGGAAAGAGGGAAAAAAAAGAGTC